TTTCGAAGAGTTGCAACACAAAGTACATTCCTTGTTAAATACGAATAAAAGTAAAATATTAAAAATATACATAAAAATATTTTGATTAAAATTATAAATAAAACAAAAAAGGTACCAAAAATTAAAACTGCGTGATTTATTCGTTAAGCTGTTTGCTAAGAGTAGGCAAATTTAGGTTTTTCTAAATAGCAGTAAAAATCAGTGTTGCCAGGTTAACGATTTGATCGTCATTTGGAAGATTTTTAACTGTCTTGACGATTAAACGATTTCGACAAGCAAATGACGATTTTTTCATTGTGTGGAGTTTTTTATTGCCAGTTGTTTTAGTGGGAATTTTTCCTTTTTTTTTAGTTTTCCAGAAAATTATCGGGCTTTTAACACTATAACACAAAAGTCTTTAACGCAAACTAAAATATTTTTATATATGTATTCTAAAATTATTCTGTAAGTAGATACCATACTTCTCATTTCATTCCTTTCTTTTGAATTTTAAGGTTTTTTGGAATTACCTCCAACACACAAGGGTTAAATAAATATTTCTAGCAGGAAATTTTGTTATCAGCTTAGTTCATTGAATAATATGTATGTAATTTATCTAAATGTAATTAAAAATATTTCTGTTATAAGTAATGTGAATTTTAGTAATTCGTAAAAGTTTAATTATATTTATTTTTTTTCGTATAACAATCAGCTGCCCAAATTTTTCCGGAAACTGTTTATTTTAATATTTTGTGCGTTGACGATTTTTCAATACAATGGACGATTTTCGAGAACCATTTTGATGATTTCTATGTTCAACTATCTGGCGCCAGTGGTGAAATTGCTGACGTTTAATTGTGTCAATGTCAAAAATTATGAATTCTTCATTTATAATAGCTAAAAACATAAATTTTTGTAAGTATAAGTTAAATTTAGTTATATTAGGTTTAGAAAAAATTTCTGCCAAATTTTTCAAAAAATTCATCAACAGATTGTTATTACTTGTCACATAAACTGTACACACACCAAAAATTATAGTCAAATTAAAAATCCACTAACTTTTTAAATTAGAACGCCGTCATTTTGGATCCATCATTTAAAATTTTTGAAATCAAAAGTTGGCTGCACCCCAACTTCGTTGGAAGCGATTAGTTGAAATGCCGTTCACACCAGGCGATTTTTTCTTTCAACTAGAAGTTGTCTGTAAAATCGCCTCATGTGAACACCGCATTATCCAGCTCTGCTGTACATATACTTATGAAGAAAATGTTCACATCTAGCTCAAATTTGAAGATAGAAATAAATAAAATAAATATTTGAGACAAAGTTTTACTTTCCAAAAGGCTAATAATTCTGCATAGTTGCAATGAAATCCATTTAAGTTTATTTTAGTTCTACACTGATAAATTATTTATTTTGAATTAACTTTATTATTTGAATATTTTTTTTTAATATCTATAATTAATTATCGTTATAAATAATTAATTTAATTTTTTTACATATATATGTATCAGTTATGGTTATTTTACAACTTTTTCTTATAACTAAACAACTTTAAAATACAAGTATTCGTACTTACACATTAACAGACAAACAACTGCCATTATTGGTACATTTTTAGTTTGCAGCGAAAATGAGCAGGAGGTCGTCCACTCAGAGATTTCAGCTTTTCGAATGCTCTCATATATGCAGGAATACCTATCAGATTTCACACTGGGATTTCTTCGATGAAATTTTATTTTTTGTGCTTACATTTATGTATTTTTAAGTATAGTTTTTTTTATTTATTTTAGGTAATTCAGCATGTTTACATGTTAAACTCCGAATCACACGGAAATAAAACCAACATTTTTTTTGTACATAATTTTCGTTTTATCATTTTTGAAAAGTTTAGGTTGAAAGAGCATAAGTAGTACATCTAAGTCGGAATTTTCTTATTTGAATGTAGTTTATGAATACCAAAGTTTTTTTCTTTTTAAATTGGCATAGTACCTTTGTGGTACATTACATTAAAATAGGACTGTGCAAGTCTCTAGTTTTTGTTTTAATAGGAATTTTGTTCTTTCTTACAAAGTTTTTTTGCTATGCCATCTTAATATTGTAAATTTAGTTTTTTATATCAAATAAGTAAAAATAAAATAAAAGAATTTAAGTCTTTGGCGAGTTTCTCCTACGTTTTCTTGCAATTTTGAATCTTACGCGGACCAGAAATCGAACCAGGGACAATAGCAACAGGTAGTATGGACCACTTATCTATCACTCGTCTACTATTGAATTACGATTGAAGAACGCATGTAAATTAAGAAAAAAAAACACATTCACGAATAAACGAAATCGAAACTCGAAATTCAACGCTGTATCACCCTTACCAAAAGGTGCTACGATGGACTGAGTAAGCAACCAAGAAGTAAAGTCCTCTCCGCACATTCGAAAACCAAACCGCCATCCAGCTGCTTACCGTTCGATTTATATGCTTGATACGGTAGGCAAGATCCTGGAGGGCATTACAATCGAAGCAGTGGAAAGGCGGCCACAATTGAATACTGCCTCTTCGTTACCCTAGATGTCAGAAATACCTTCTATTCGGCAAACTGAAATCGGAGGTGTTACTCATCACCAGTGTTGCCACTCAAATTTTTTTTACCCTACCACAATTGGTACAAAATAGCTCTCAGCCTACCAAAATGTGACTTTCAATGAAAGTGTTATTCAAATATTATAGCATATGTATGTAAGTAGGTATGATACTTTATTATAAAAAAATTGAATAAAATTTACTTGTCCATAATTTGTCTTCATATGCAGCTCTTTTTGGGTTAAATTGAAGAAAAAGGTGCGAACTCAAAAGCAGGCTTTGAAAATTACATGTTTTTACTTTTGCTGACAGCATTAAAAGCTGTCAACTATTTTTTTCCTAAGCGAGAAGAGGGAAATAAAGTACAAATACTTTCCCTTCACACTTCGCTTTAGCGAAATATAAAATTTGGCAATTGTCTAATTATTTTATTCTAACTTAAAAAAACTGTATGGATTAGAAGACAGTCAAGAACAACTTTGACATGTCCCATTTCTTTTTTCTTTTTCACATCATCCATTACATTAACTCCCGAAAAAAGAGATACTTGAAGTTTTATAAAACGAATTATTTATGTGATTGGCCTACCAAAACCCCTCGAAAACTACAGCAAACCAACCAACCTACCAAAGCCTTATTTTAAGAAATGATGGGCCGAAACGGCAACGCTGCTTATCAGTGGCCGTAAAGTACGAGAGGAGGCGAAGGTCTGTATCAGTGGGTGTACGATACATTCGACGCGAGATTTAAATTCAATGAGCACCTGCATTACATTTGCGAGAGGGCTGCCAAAACAAACTGCGATCCTCAAACTCTATGCATTAAGGGTTTGTTCAGCTTTTCGGACGGTGTCGTAAGATGCAGCCCTTGTGGCGGCTGGGCTGCAACCTATTGATTTACTGGCGAAGGAAGCTCATCCAGCGTTCCTGGCTGCTCCACAGCATTGAACACACGAACGCTCGTAAGAAGGCGCACCCTATCCGATTGGCAGGAACGATGGGACACAGCTACAAGTGGCAAGTGGATTAATATCGAGACCTCGATTAGTAGGGCATACAAGTTAAAACGAGCCGAATATGCATCAAAATGAATGGATGAAACACAATTTAATTTATTTTGCCGAATGTTACGTGACCGAGGGCCATACAAAGGGGAAAGGAGCATTCACTGCGGCAAAATGCTCGCATGGTTAGCAGATTTGATGGAAAGGTGGACAGAAGCAGTTAACAGTATTCTCCAATGGTTAACTCCATTGATAGTATATGGTGAAATAAAGAATTATGGAAAGGAACACCTATGTACATATACCAGAAGTACGTGGGTCTGGGAAGTGCCAGCAAAGATTGCAAAACTCCAACGTGCAGTTGGCGAAGCAAAAAACTGTGTAACACTAGGAGCCAGAGCAAGAACAATACAACATTCCACACAGATGTTCTAAGCCCAGTCTATATCCTAGGAGGGGTGTAAATATGTTGTCCAACTTGTATTGTAAAGCTTTTTGTAGTGTCCTTTGATTTATGCTTTCATTTATCTCATCTAGATACTGCAAGTAAAAAAAAAAAATCGAAATTGTTTTGCAAAAATACTTCTAAATAAACCAAAGTACTTCATACCAAAATAATCAGAAAATTACAAACCAAAAAGAAAGAGTTGTTGTTATGCGGATTTAGCAAGAACTAAGTTTTTCGAATTCCAATATAACTTCATTATAATTTTTATTAAGAAAACAATTTTAGCACTTAGCATAGTATTACATATTATACAATCCATATACATATATAACGTTTTTAAAATTTTAATCACAATTTCGTTATACATATTAATTTAAATTTCATATATTTACAGTGATTACATTCATACACACGTAAACAGTTATGCGTAAATCCATTTCGTTCTTTTTAAATTTGTTCATTATTTTTTATTATTTTAAGTGTATTACTGTTGCTTATATTATGCTTTTATTTTTACTTCTCATCTCCATATCTAGGTGAATTTTTAGTAACATCTGTTTCAAATTTTTTATCATACATAATAGTCATTTTTATATTTTATTTCAATTACATATACATTTTTTTCATAATCACTTAATCTACTTTATACTTCCTTTATTTAATTTCTTGTTTTAATTTTTTAATTACTCTTTTTTTTTTTAATTACTGCATATGCATATATGTATTTGTGTTACTTTTATTTGCATACATACCTACAATCGCTTAAAAAACGGTAAAACTGTTTCAACATAATTATTGAAGTTCTTTATAAATTTTAAATAACTGCCATTTGTTGATTGATTTCGAGTATTAAGGTGGACACTATTCGTTTGTAAATAGGTTTATATGTAGTAACCAATAAGCTTGGAAATTTTGGATATAGGCTGGTGTATAAAAATTATATGTAGGTTATTTAACTTAATATATTGTTTTTTTTTTTAACTAAAAAAAAATATCAAAAAGCTCTACATCACTTTTAAATTTGTAGTGAATTCAATTAATTTAGGCAAATATCATTTAATGCATTAATTTGAAAACCGAGACTCCTGCGGCCTAAATATTGTACAAAAAATTCGAAAGTTCAAAAAAATATGCAAGTATTAAACTGAAATATTTTCAAAACAAAAAAAGTTAAAATTAAATAACAATAAAATAAATCGTTAAAACATGGGACAACTGACGCTTTGAAAACTTCTTTTGCTTACAAATCTTTTTTTTTTTATAAAAATTTGTAATATACTATGTACATAGTTTGTAAATAAATGAGGAATGAATTAACCTTTATGAATTCTTGGTGAAATTGCTTAGAATTTTCCTAGTTCATGCAATAAGAGACTGCAATATTATCTATGAAAAAAAATCGCACGACAATGCATAGCTAGAAATGTCAAAATAATGCGAGAAAGCTATAAAATATCGAAGATTTGAATAATATATATATGACGCCCAAGTGTGCAGAAGTCGACATGCCAAACGCGAACACCACTCAGATTAGGCGCATAATGTGTGGAGTGCTTTAATCATAAAAAATTTATTTTATTACAAAAAATCGAAATTTTTTCTTATACAATTTTATGTGCATGGGATTTCATTATGAAAATCTAAACTTGATAACTGAAATATGTAGTAGATATTTTTTTTTATATGTAAGTAAAAATGTTGAGTGTCTTAAAACTTTATTTTGAAGAATTTTTGCGCAATTCAATTGTTAACAATGTTTTCACTTTACTTCTTCATTGATTGTATACATTTTAGTAGAATAAAATTTTAGTTAGAATAAAATTTTTCACAATCAAAACGTTTTTGGTAATAAAATAAAATATAAATAACTACAAAATTCAAATAATCATTGGATTGCGCTTACACAGAGTTGCATATGTATGTGTACACTTAGACATATGTATGTATATGTAGAACATAACTTAGATTATCGTTAAGTAGGCTCAAGAGGAAATCTTTAGTTTCTCAGTGGTAACTTCAACTACATATTCAAAACTTTTCAGCTACAATTGGTTTTTGTTTACAAAAATTAACAACAGTTTTTATTTTATGTACACATACATACATACATATATATATGCACCACTAAACTTCTGTTTGCATTAACTAATTACTTTTTATCTTTAATCATTTTAATTCTTATGCTATCAAGTGCTCAGCACCTGCTCCTAGGCTTAAAAATGAGTTCGTCTGCGGCGACAGCAGCACATCCTCCCCCATTCCTTCTTACGCGCGCTCCGGACACTTAGTCTGCACAATGGCCGGCTTCGGTGTGACCGCCAGTGTTGGTGCGGTGGTCACAGCTCCCTCTGGCAACATGGCCGTATGCACAATAATACCCGGCTGATCCTCGCTCTGCGGGTGCAGTTCGTGCGATTCGCCTGGCGTTAAGCTGGCCAATGCCGCCAACAGATCGTGATTCACCAGCGGCTCATTCTCTTCGCGTGGCTCCCAACCAGCTGGCGGTGAAGCGGGTGGCGAAATTAGGAATTGTTTAACTGGCGCTGGCGGTTGCAGATTTTTATTCGCAACTGGCGTTACCGGCTGCGCAAAATAACAGGTTATCACTGTTTTCTTATTAAATTCGTATTGATGCAATTTGATGCGCGCATTGGCCGCCGCTATGGCATTGTCGTAGTTGACGCGCAAACGTCTGAAACTGCGTAGCCATTGGAAGGTCGCCGAATCGCAAAAGGTGCGGAAGAGCTCTTCCATTTCCTGCTTCAGCGCTGGATTGGTAAACACCTCCGAGTGTATGTTCGTCACAATAATCGATGTGGGCAAATCATCAAATGAATCTGGATCCACTGGCTCTTGTTCGTTATCACTGTCTACTTCGCCATCGGGCAATGTGGGATGTTGGCTGGGCAAGCCATCGGCTTGATTTATGAATATATCTTGATCGGGTGAAAGTTTATCGATGCTGCCGGTGCCACTATTTTGTGTTGATTTCAGTTTGGCATTGTTGTTGTGATTTGTGTCACCGTTGGCGTTGTTACTGCTATTGTTGTTGTTGTTGTGCGTTGTTGCCTCATTCGCCTCGGTAGGTGGTGTATTGGCGCGCGACGCAGACATCTTCGTTGTGTGTGTATGTGTGTGTGTGTTTGCTGGTTTGTGGGCGTGGAGTCGTGTGCCTCAGTGATTGAGCGCGCAAGTGGACGGGAGTTTAAATTTGTTTGAAACTGTTGGAAAAGCGGCCAGCTAATGAGACGAGCAGAAGTATGTGGTCTGAAAATAAAAATAAATATTTATTCTTAGTACGCGGATATTAAAGCATTTATGTTTATTTGTGATTTAATTAGCTGTGGAATATACAGTGACTCAAACAAGTGTTCACGTGTTCATGTTTCTTTTTTCAATATTCAAAATTGTTTTCAAGTAAACCATTATCTAAAATCATTTATCTAAATCAAAGTTGCAAACCAAAATTAAGGAAAATTCAACAAATTTTCATCAAAATTTCGAGCCTTTTCATCTGCGTTAGGTTTTCATCGGGAGAATCACAAAAAAAGCATCATTTGTATTCAGAACATTAAAAAGCGTAAAACACTCCCAAAATACCTTCAATCATCTCCAGTTCGCTTCATACTGCGTAAATTTTTATATTACTTACTTAACCTCAAACTACATCTTAAGCTTAATCAACATCTGGATTTTCTGAATCCCTATTTTAATCCCAATTTTAACGCAGGCGACAACAGCGATATAGAAGAAGGAAGAGAGCACGGAACCTAACCCTTTCCCCGACGAAATCAACTGAGACCCTCTGCCTCATGCCGATTCTGCCCTACGTTGCGCCTGTTTGGTCGCCGGACACTATTTGGACGCAGTGGATAAAGCTGCAACCTTGTCAGAGCGAAAGGATGCCTTTTGATGTCGCCCGAGCTGAACCTTCACGTCGAGGCACAAAAACAATCTCGGAAAACAGTTTTTAATGGGCGCCATAGTCGTATGCACCCTAACAGACCCTTGCTTGAGGAAGAGCCTCCGCCCAGGCACGTCAGAAGGCATCTTTTCGAATATATGGACGTGGTCCACACCTACTTAGAATAACTCTTGGCCCGACAACGTACATACAAATGATAAACGGCATTCATAGAAAGTCCGTCACAACTTACCACAGCTCTCGACCTATGAATGCCGTGATCGGAGCCCAAACATTACCGCCTATCGCGATTCTGGCAACTACTGTCTTGAAAGCTCTTACTGTCTTTCGAAAGACCAATTGAAAGATCTGCTAACGTGGAGGTCTTAACGTTATGCTGCTCGCCTTTTAGCAATAAGCTTTTCAAAAATTAAATTAAAAGAACATTTTCCTTAAAAAAATAGAATAAAATTAAATAAAGAGATAAAAAAATAAAAAATTAAAATATTTCTTAAAATTAAATTTAAAAAATATCTTCTTAAAACAAATAACAAATAAAAAAACGAGAATATAGTACATACTTATAAATTAAATATAAAAATATATATTTTAAACAAAATCTTAAAATTGAAGGAAAATCAAATTAAAATAGATAAAAAATAAAATGAGATCCTAAAATTCAGATGTAATAAAAATTATGTTTTTAATTAATTTAATAATGAGATATAAAAATTCAAGGAAAATGAAACTAACACAAGAAAAACAAATTATGTAAATAAAAAAAAATTAGTTTTTAAAAATGAAATGAAATAAAAAAATATTAATTTTTTATTTTTAAGCAATTAAATCTAAAAATTAAAAGAAAACTAAATTAAAAATAAGAAAAAAATGTATTTTCAGAAAGATACAAATAAAGTGAGTTACTAAAACTTAAATTAAATTTAAAAATATGAATTTTTCTTTAAAAAAAAATAATATTTAAAAATTAAAGGAAAATTAAATTAAAAATTAAAATAATGGCCATACATTAAAAAAAAAAATGTTGCTGACCTAGACTGGAACAAGGATCTACCGAATAAGAGGCCTCTGCTTTGCCCACTCGGCCACTGCGACTGTTGGAGCGACGCGAGCTAAATGATATGCAAGTAGTGCTTTCTCTCAAAAAAGCTTCTCTAAGACTTTTGCCATCTGCCTCTCATTTGTCTTACGTAGGACATGTTACTACCTTAGCCAGAATTTTCCTGTAAGTATCACGACTTTTCAATCAATAATGCCTACATATATAATAATTGAAGGAAAATTTTCATTGAAATAACCAGCGATGCATCTCGATTTTTGCGATATCTTTGGCAAATAATATTTAATCGTTACGTAATTTTTACCAGCTTTAATACCCGATGAACTCAGAGGTATGTGGCCACGATTTGTTGACAAGTGTTCAGTTTCACAAGTTTACAATAATATTTTTTTTTCATCGTGATGGAAAATATAGGTTTCAGAATTTTTCATAATTCGCAAACAAGAGCAAATCTGAAAAAAAAACGAAGTGTACATCCGGAATCAGCGACCCACATATACCCTGGGAACAAGAATGGCGTTTTGCCTTATTTGGCTGTCGACCAGTGTTATATGGCAAACAAAATTTGCTGGCAGGTAGTGCCCCAAATATACTTTAGAAATACATATAGCTGGCGGTCAAATATTGCCGCATTTTTCAGCACTTTTTAGTTGACGCCTGTCATATACGACGCCCAAAGGAAATCTCTCATTTAAGCAATCAAACAACAAATATTTGAGCAAACACTAACTTAATTAAGCGTTTCTATCGGTTTAGCATTCGCTAAAGGCGACGTTTCAAAATAGCCCTTTCCACTTTGATACGAGTATGTTGGCCTATTCATACAGTTACTTTTTTTGTTATTGCCTCCATAGCATGCTTACGGCTAACAAACATTTTCAATTCACTCACTTTTTCACTGGCTACGATAAATATTTGTTTCTATAAACATTTATTTTTTTTTGTGTCTTATCCTTTTGGTCTTCATTGTTCTTGCTGCCCAATCAGCTTGTTTGCATCAACAAACTAGCAGTCATTTCAGCACATTGATAGAATAGTGTCCTTCCGTAGTTGGCTTTAACTTTGAAACGTGGCCAATGTTGAAGTCAAGCCAGGCCTTTGAAAAAAGGTAAGCGGATCAGCGAGCGCATCCGGTGAACAATGGCGGTCGCCTCGTTTGGCTTGCCGTAAAATGAGTAGACAATGCATGCAGATGTATGTATGTGTGTAATATAAAATGATAATATTTAAGCGCTTACACTTTTGCTGAGTGTTTGGCCGAGCTTCTTCGCCCACAGTTTTACGCCGCCTCCGAACGGCAAATGGATTTTTGTGAGAAGCTTTTTCATGGCAGAAATACACTCGGAGGTTTGCCATTGCTAGCCGATGGCAGACCGATGTTAGAATAAACTCTTAACTCTAATTTAGATGTTGCTCACCAAGGATCGAATGCAGGTCCTGCGGAGTGGTCGTACGAACCTCTAACAATGAAGATAACTATTTTTTGGCAGAAAATTAAAAAAAAAAAAATTCGCCTGCGCTTTGGCTGGGAGGTAAAGTGGAATGCATATGCAGTCCCAGTCAGTTTTCCTTTTGTTTGTTTAGTTTTCATTTATTTTTTATAAAAATTTAGCATATTCTACGTATAAATCTGATTTTAGAATTGTATAAATAGTAAAAAAAAAACATATCAAAAAAGGGTGTGCTCTCCTAATGACCTGCAGTGCATAAGTTAACTATATTTTTAGAAAAATTTCGGGTACACAGTTTTTGTAGTTTAGTATAATAAAATGCAATTTTCAAGTGGCTACAAAATACGGTTGATTTTTGACAATTTTTTTCGGTGAAAGTGTCATACACTGCAGGTTACTAGGATAGCACACCCTTTGTTGACATTTTTTTTTTTAACTTTTTATAATATTTTGAAATCGGATTTACACGTACAATATGCTACATTTTTATACGAAATAATGAATATATGTATGTATATGTACATACATATGTATGTAGGTATGTAAGTGCGCATTCGTTCGAACTTGCCCCTTTCCCAGAAAAAGCATATCTAACTATTTATGCTTGCGAACAAAATATGCATCTTTTTGCTGGTCTTTTCGTTCTACCTACGCGCACTTTTAAGCCGATTTGCTGTAAAGAGTCAAGCGTCGGCAGCTGGACACTGAAATGGGCTTTTATTTTTGTACTACTTCCATTTTAAGCTCCCGGCTGTGAGCCTGTGTATTCTCTGCAAGTTGCTTTTTATGTACATAAATATTTCTCTACATCCTCCGCTAGCTGATAAATTTATGGCAGACATGCTACTTAAAAGAAACTAAGGATTATACTAGTAGTAAATATTTTAATAATAGCGACTACAAGCTGATTTAATTGAATAAAAGCGAATTATAAATCCATTTGCCGAATCCACTTTGCAGCCTTCGACAGCTATATTTTTCAGCTTTTTAAAGCATTTTTACAAAGTACATTTAGACCTTGCAATGACTGCTCTAAATCGCATAATACTATACTTGAAGAGATCATCCCTCAACTAAAAATATGTAAGCATTCGCACCGATACACAACTGATGCTGCTGGCACCTAAAACATAACTCGCAAGCCAGGCTCTAGAATGCCAAGCGGAAAAGAATCTAAAAAAAAAAATGAAAGAAGTCTGTGCCCTAGGTTAGGTTAAGTGAAGGTGATTACTGCTAGGTTATTGCGTCCATTGCCGCGTGCCTCGCATTGGTCTCGCCGAGCCCATCTGGGCCAGTTAGAAAGTACAAAATCGTACAGTCTCCTGTCAATACACCCAACAGAATAGAGACATGTGGAATTGTGAACCTAAGGAAAACCTAAACCCGCCCACAACCCAACCTCCGCCAGAAAGACATTGTAGTGACGCAGTGGCGTACGCTAAGCTGACACGACTCCGAACTTTCCAAGAGAAGCACAGAAGTAGTCGAGGGAATTGGTTTTTATCTCTTTTCTTGGTAATACTGGCTCGTGATTTTCATACCTGGTGAGCTCATAAGCTACGCTCTTCCTGGGATATCACTATGACCCCGTCACAGAAAGCGAATTTAAGTAGGCGCTCTCCTACTAACTTCGATCGCACCATAAGCAAGCCCAGGGCACTGATTGCCGCCTGCCTGATTGACTTGATATTAACTTCTCTTACCGCCATCGGGCACATCAGCAACGATTCGAATGATTCTTTAATAGCAGCAACGTCTGCTTGGAGAGTACTACAGTGATCCGGAAGCGTAAATTTACGGTTGAAGGGGAGTTCCTTTGAAAATACACTTCCGT